TTCTCACCTGATGGCCCCCCTGCGACTGTGCCTGTCTTAGGTTGTTCCTCCCTTGAGGAATCTTACCCGTCTCTGGCTAACCAGTCATCTTCCGGGGCCATACAGGGAAATGTAAAGTTGGTAAGTGAGAGAGAAGCAATATTGTTTGAAAAGGTTAGCTTTTTACTTCTTTGCAGGTTTATGCCCTGTGGCTTCTATGCCCAGCATTTGTCTTGAGGTATCTTTACCACTTGGAAGAATTATGATACTTGGTAATTTCGATATGAGGCACGAATTCTACTTAAGGGTTGTAATTAGGAAGAAAAGCTATAGAGGTAGCAGTGATGTCTTATATTTTTATCACCTAGTTCAAAATATTTTCTAATTTCCTGTGTGGTTTCTTCTTTGAACCACAGATTTTAGAGGTACACTGTTTAATTTCCAAATATATTTGATTCTCCTAAATACCTTATTGTTATTGATTTCTAATTTAATTCCATCGTGGCCAATAATAGTTATGATTTCAATCCTTTGAAGTGTACTGGAAGTTCTATTATAAACCAGCATATGGTCTATCTTGGTGAACATATAATATGCATTTGGAAAAAAACATGTGTTCTACAATGTAGTGTTCTATGAATATCAAGTAGATCCAGGTGGTTGACAGTGTCTATTGAATTCCTATGTCTTCACTCAGTTTTTGTTTAGCTAACATAGAAGACAATTGCTGAGAGGGTGTTAAAATCTCCAACTCAGGTGGTGGAATGGGTTCTGTCAATTTTTGCTTCATTTATTTTGGTGCTCTCTTAATAGATGTAAACATTTATGACTGCTTTTCCTTCCTGAAAAACTTAATTATAGTGAATTGTTCCTTTCTGTCTTTGGTAATATTTTTTCTCTTGCAATCTATCTCATCTAATAATAGCATAGTCTTAGTTTGACTTTATATTTTTCCTGACTTTATTATACATATAATTGACAAAAAGTTTTATATATATATTAAGGTTTACAATGTGATGATTTGATGTATGTACACACTGTGAAATGATTACTTAGTGGTTTCTGATGAGTAGTTGGCCATCACTCAAAACATTGCTCATTTATGTAGGGTCTGGCTGCTTTTCAGTTTTGCTGTTTGTTTTTGGTTTCCACCTTTTAGGCCAAGATGTGCTAAGCATGCTTCTCTGAATTTATCTTACTTGAGGTTTGCTTAGGTTACTGAGTCTGTAAATTTATGTCTTTTATTAAATTTGGGAAGTTTCTGGCTTTATTTTCCCTGCTCCATTCTTTTATTCCTCTCCTTCTAGGACTCAAATTACCCACAGATTAGATTTCTTTGAAATTGCCCTACAAGTTCCTGATGCTCAGTTATTTACTTTATTTTTTTTAAAGTATCACTGATATACAAATTTACGATGGTTTC